ATGCATATATCTTTATCTATATATATATATTTATTTTTAGCTATATATATATTTCTTTAGCTATATATCTATATCTATATCTATATCTATATCAACATCGACATCTATGGATACCGGTTTATATACACTGGAAACATCACAGCTATAGTTAGGGTGACTTATAGCATCGAATTACGATATCATTGTCATACTTGCCAGAAGTGTCTGAGTAGCTGACTTGGAACCTACTTTACTTCAGTTTATCAGGTCGGGCCGAATTAAGTGTTTATCTGCAACTGCCATGGATATTATTATTGCTGCAGGTATTGCTCTGGAGAATGTCACCGGCTTTACCGTCGTAAGCGTTCCCATCGATAGCAATTCTCCGAGTATGTCATCAAACCAGTCTTGTACATATGTATCTGATATTTTGTGAGAATTCTACCTTCCGATATAAGTCTGAATGTCCACTGAAAGAACCCATGGAATTATCTATAGCACAATTTCGCTCGGCTCTTTTTGACGGTGTTTGCTAGCTTCCGTTACCTTCTCGTTTTGGCACGATTCCCACCGACTGAGTTCAATACACGCTCATAGAATTTTTCTACCGTAGAGTTCACATCTCTGTGCGTATTGAACTCGAAACAAACTCAAATTTCAGTTGATGTGCAATCTACTTCTACAGTGGCGCTGCTGCCATTCCGATTCAAATTCTTTGAGCAAGCACTGGATGAGGAGCTGGACACGATCGAACAGGTAATTTGTTCGTTTCCAATCATGTTCGTTTATTAGTCTCAAGTGCTGCAAACCGAGTTCCGACAAAAAGAAACTGTATGAGCCCAGTATTATTATGAATTCGGTCGTCAGGATCAATACAATCTAGTGGAGACCATATCCAATGTCTATGTGTTATCATGGTGACAAGGACTGTCTTGGTGAATATTGTTAGTAATCGGTCCCAAGTCCACACGCCAGCTCGTTGCATCAACATTGGGAAGCTGCTTATCGCTGGTATTATGGCACATTGCACAACTGAGGTTCATTTTAATTCACAAAACCCAAATCACTAGTCATAACTCCTTCTTTTAGAGTACAGCATTCGCCGAAAACCTTAGGCGCCCGTCTCACATCTGTATTTGTCCTTTCTATCTTCAGATTGTGGTTCTTGGTGCTGGCTTTGATACAACTACGTTCCGGCCTTCTGTTGTACAGGCAGCGGGGAGGCGGAATATTAAAATATTTGAGGTACGTTCAGGTTGATTTCTGCTTTAAATCTATGAAGGATCCGTGAATGGACTACGAGGATATTATGTTGGTTGAGAATGCGATAAGATGAAAAGCTGAGTGATTGTATATGCGCACTGTATTTAGTGATGATGTTACTATACTATGACCCGGAGGCAACTCTTTTAGCAGATACGTACTCTATCCGTGAGGGTTGAATATTCCGCGGTTGGTTTGATATTTATGAAGATTAGCTTACATACACATCAGTTTGATCTCCAAGTTGCTGATATACCAGTTGAGCCCTATGCGACTTGAAACAGTGATCCCATTAAATCAGTCCTCACTAATAATATTTCGCGTCGTCTCGCTAATGCAAATTGTATGAATAGGTGGACAACCCCATCACACAGCAGGTAAAGAAGGAGGTAGTAGAAAAGTCCGGTCTGAACGCTTCTCACATAACCTTCGTGCCTTGCGACTTTGAGAAAACCAGTTGGCTAGAAGCTCTCTCGCATTGTCAAGAGTTCAAAAGCAAAGCTCGCACTTACTTTCTGTGGGAAGGAGTTATGTATTACCTGACGGAGAAAGCTGTGAGAGAAACTATCAATACTGTGGCAACGGAATTCCCTGCAGGTGTGTGTAGCCAGTCGTTGTGCATGATTTGTGTATGTATATTTCGTTCGCATGCTATCTGTGCGAAAGGTCAGCAGTCGGGCTTGTAAGTGTGGCATCATTCGAATATGATGGTGCAGAAGCATCGAGGTTTGCATAATACGATAATCACTAATCACATACATATACTAGTCAAAAGCCACGCTACGATGATTTTGTATGTTCTATTAATGCACCAGATGTGTCATATGTTGTTGTTTTGATCACTAAATATATCATTCCCTTCTGCTTAAACACAGGAACGTCTCTCGCCTTCGACTACTTCCGACTAGACCGTTTCGCCAGAAGGTACCTATGGGCCATGAGATTATATGGCGAACCACTGTTGAGCTCAATTGATACACGTGAATCCCAGGATTTCAGAGAGACACTCGATGACTTTATAAGCGAACGTAGTGACGGGAAGATGCGGATAACCAAGCAGGGCTCATACCAATACTTTAATCAGGGTGATTTTGGTGGTGTAATCAAAGCTCTGGTAGCGTAATATATCACACCCGGCAGAATGTATTTGTACCTGCAGGGTGTGTGGAATGCAACATTGGTCTCATTGACGTCGTTCTAAACAGGCACTGTGGTACTACTGACTGGTACACAGCCATACAGCGGAGCTAGCAGACTAAAGGCATGCTTCATATTCTTAACAGCAGCGGTATATCTAATAAGATTTTACGGCACACACAACCTAGTAAAATGGGAAGACGGCTTTGGGCTGATAAATAGCATTGGGCTGTCTTAGAAGGTAGACGCAAAGAAGGTCCAAGTTGTTTACTTTATTAAAAGACTACAATACAAGAAATTTTATCGAAAATAACTGAGCCTGTGGTGATACAAAATGGTACCGCTACTGCTTTGGGTGATCGAGGTTTGGGCCCCATTTGTGTGGCTTTCTACACGAACGATATTCTATCAGAAAAACCCCTCAGTCTTTCATACCGCTACATGCGGTTGCAAAGTATAACTACGTGTAAGCGAGCAAGCACTATGGACAATCAATCACTAGTCTCAGCTTGCATATCGCTATATGTTATAACTGTTCATTCCGCATTGGTCACTACCTCCTGCTAATCTCATAGGCTAATACCTGAATCGCTTTATATGCAGACATACTTCTCAAATACAAACTCATGGCTTCCAACTCAGTTGTTGATTACATGCTATCTTGCAACTCGTGTTTTTTATCTTTCCTCGTGATTCTCAAAACGACTTTGTATAGGCTATACGATCTGCATACTCGCGCAATGCCACTGCTTCTCCGCCACACGGGGTATAGACAGAACAAAGTGTACACCTCCGAGTGTCATGTCCGATGCATATGTCCCGTCTCTTGGTAGCTGAACTACCGGTGCCAGTTGAACCCCTTTTTTTGAGCTGCATAAAGGCAGGATCACAGGTCTTGGTTCATAAACAATGCTCTCAGTTTTCTTATGTGACATATTAATGTCTAAAGGGCTTTAAAGGGTAACTTGCTAAGTGGGAAACCCGTTGACATAACCGCGCATGCCGTTCACATCCCTTTCCAGCAGTGGTTGTTTTCCGATCCAGAAATGGTTCTACCTTTCCTGGATCGTCATGATCCCATCACCCGATACACGGTATCCCGACAGCTGCATTTCGTTAATCCCTAAGTGATGTATTTGCTGAAGCCTCCCTAACAACTCTGTTATACTCTTCTTTGGTCTAAGTATAGACAACTATGTAATCCATACATACTTGTACGTTGTCCGTGGCTCGAAAAAGTTATTGCATGGTTTATTGGAAGAACGATGGCAACATATATAGACTAAATAGTGCTCCTTTAGATGAATACTGCTGTCCATCCCAGGTAAATGTGAAGTACTTCCAGTGCGGTTTGCGGCTTGTATATCTTCATCTGGTGATAGTCTTTTTTTTTATCGATGACGGATATTGCTCTTCCCATCCGTATCATTAACACGCTAATCCGTGGTAAAGGAAACTTATATGTTAGTATAAGCGCATTATTTGGGCTCATATACAAACAAACTCGTATCTTCTTCAAGGTCCAATCAGAATTGAACTGGTCCACGGCCAAAGGTGCAAGTTTGTTGGGGTGGGACCGTAGGTCACTGCGATAATTCTATCTTTGGACCGGGCCTTAACCTTTTCACTGCGAATAAAGCACTTGGGCTTCGAGAAATCTACCTTTAAAGCCAAGTCTAAGCTCACATAGCTATTACAGCTTGATGCAAAACAAAAAAAACTGTCAAAACAGCATTATGACAAAATTAAATTATGAGAGATATGAGTGGTCGTTTTAGGTGGCTCTCCCTCATGGGAGGAAATAGCGAACCAACCCCCCTAGAACCGGAGATAAGAATATATCTGCCCAAGCCCACGCAGAATCGATATAGTACAGCTACGACGTATAAATAGAGAGGTAAAGCCGATGGGCTAAGCACTTTCCTTTCTTACACTTTAGTTTAATAAGAATCACTAGTTGGTGCACAATGAATGTTGCCATGAGATTAGAACTCTTACGACATCTTTTGGCGGTCACATCGTACGAACAGGCGATTGACCTCTACGGCGGTACCACGGATATCAATTAGAAACCACAGGTGAAGAAGTGCCGTCGCAGATAGCCGGGTGACTTACCTACTATATCAGTTTTGATCAGGATGGTTACAGGCCCCAGGAAGAAGAACCGATGGCAGCTTTCTTACAGCGGGTGCGGCCCGAAGTCACCCGTGTACGACTAGAGTACCTCAATTACCTGGGCAGTATTCACCAGGGTCAGAGTAGATCGATGTTTAATGCTGCACCTGGCACTCCCTTCCGGCGTCGCGAACGTGAAGGAGAGACTGGACCAATCACCCCGGTGTTCAATCGTACAAATGGAAGAGCCCAGAATGTAGGACCTTCGGGAAACGGGAGAGCACGAGGGGACACTTAGTTAGAAAGCCGACTGAAGACCATGGAAGCAGCCCTGACTGCCTCAAACTTCAGCAACACCCAATTGATGAGCCAAATGGAAAAAATGATACAACGATTGGATTCTCTGCAGGTGCCAAAAGCTGCGAGACTACAAGTCTCACGCCAGATTTTACAGCAAGAAACCCTCTTTGATTTATGGAAGTCATCAGAGCTAGCTCACTCCCGAGAGCTAATCAAGTTGCTTAAATTACTCCCGAGAGTTGATATAATACGTAACTGACTCCCGAGAGCAGATTAGGTTTCTCAACAAACTCCCGAGAGTGGATTAGGTCTGCCAACCGTAACATTCTAAAAACAGCTTACCTATGCGGAAAGGCGTCATGTGATCAGCGTGGGTTTTTGTTGCAAAGAAGTCGAAACAGAATAGCATCGAAGTGTTAAAGTGTTCTGCATAAGGTTTCTCATACTAACCATATGAGTTTTTTTTTCCCTTGCCAGCCCAAGCGGTTGAACACTAGCACAAACACCTTGAGTATAAAACCATAGGTGAGGTCAGAAATAAATATATACATCTGCACTTTATTTAAAGTCTACTACATTGCACTCTAACAAAAGCTTTCTTCTGTCGGTAAGAGAAGGACAACCCTGGCGCTTACGGTGAACGGGTGGTGAACGGCGGAGAAGGAAGAGGCAACCAAGAGGAGAGCGACGATTTGGATACCAAAGTCTACAAGGCCCTGACCAAGGTAGAGAACCGAAGAATTGGCGTGAAACTTGCACCACTCCCAGCTCAGCATGTGCAGATCCGCAAGGATCAGCGGCCTCTCTCTTCGTCCCGGAGTTATTAGCCAGTATGATAATATGTCAATATTACCAGGGATTGGGTATGACGCCGACCAAGATGGTACTAAACATGGGGGTGAAAACCCGTGGCCTCGAGGAGCAAATGTTGTGACTCGCCCTTGTGATCGAGCTGCTAGTGCACGAGCTCGGATACGTCCTCACAGTTCAGGTCTCGGCCACAGAAATACTCTGTAGCCGAATACTAGCCTGTCAGACGGCCGTAGAGACCGGAAATTGAGAGTATACGAGAATGGCAGAGGAACAAGCAAACCAAGGCCTTATGGTCCCTCATGGTTTGCGAAAGGAGTGGCTCAAGAAAAACAAGAGCCTAAAGGAGGTTCAGGAAAGCAGCCTGACGAAGGACAACAAAGGCCCAGAGAAGGAGACCAAAGACAAGGTGGCAAAGGCCGAGGGCTAAAAAATCGAGAGGGAAGAGTGCCGGATCCGCAGGATCAGGGCACCGGGGATGCGTCAGAACCCCGCGAACAAGACGCAAATGACAGACAAGAATTTATATTTCCGCTCCCATTACAGCAGTATACGACTAAGGGCAGAGGACCAGGGTGCGCAAACTAGAAATAATACAATGTTATAATCGAATGGTGCGCACTTTGAATGTATTGGCTGAGAGTAAGGGGGTTAGAGAAGAAGCAAGTGCGACGAGTAGACGCGTCGCTGAACGAGTATTGAAATGTGCCTCAGAGTTGGCCCGGTCTAGAAATGGAATGCGGGTCGCTGAGAAAATCGAAGTAACGGATTTCGTGGACAGCAAGAAACTACCAGTTGCGCTGAGAGCGGACATGGTGTCTTTGGCCCAAGAAGATATAGCAGGGTCTGTGGATCTGCTGAAGAGCTTATCACCATCCGTTAGAAAGCTTGAGGCAAATCCTGATGGAGGGATGATGATGGATAATGAGGCCATGAATAGCCTTTATTCACTCAGAGGCAATAGAGCTAGAAAAATGGGGATAACCAAAGAATATTTGCAGCATATACGGCGGCAGGAAGAACTACTAATGGGTGTGTTAATGGAATATTTGCGGTACCAAAGAGGGCAGCGATGCAACGGACTAATCACCGATGCTAGACCTTTCAATCTGCTTCTGTAGTGTCCACCTAAGGTTTGTTTGCCCAATCCAAGTGATTTTCGGGAGCTTATACTGCCTCCAGGGAAGAATTATATGGTAGAGTCTCAGATAGAGACAACTTCTACCACAGATTCAGAACCCCTTGGTGAATGCACAGATTACTCTGTCTTCCGCCAGTACTAGAGAGATGATCAAGCGATAGTAGCCTCAGGTACCCGTTTTCCATCACATTAGTTATGGGTGGTAAATGGGCAGTATTCCTAGCGCAAGATGCGCATGAGTTCATTACTGGTTTTAAACGAATTTGGTAGAATCTGTTATTTCTGCCTGAAGCCATGC